TTACCACGAGATGTCGCTGCTTCATGAGGCCATGAAGCTCGACAAGCGTAGCTGTATTTACTGTATGTCGTGACGCTACTAAACCACGTGTCGAAACGCAATCGGTGTAAATACACTACAGTCAGAATTAATTTATTACAAAGAATATTTGCAACTGTTCGTTATTGAACGGCAAATCTGTCTTTTGTCTGATATTCAATGTTTATATTGCAGCTTTAAAAGATGACTATTGTTCATTATTTTTATCAAAATATTTCAAATTATACAGAATATTATAGAAGTTATTGTAAATAATGTGTAAATTTTTTTTCTTAAACTCTTTTAATCTCAAAATTTTTCTGCTGAATTTTCAATCTCTTACTCAAAATTTCTGTTTACTTTTGATATATATTTAGAAAAATTACTTTACATAAGAGTTTATCACACCAAGTAACCAATCTAACATATTTTAAAATTATGTACAGTACAGTAAAAATAAAAAATTTTAAAAATGTCTTAGATTGGTCACTCGATGTGATATACTCCTACGTAACTATATAACTACCTTTAACGTTATATAACTGCCTTTGTAGTTATATAAATCAAATACTACAATATAACGAACACTAAAGCGAAAAGCATAAAATGTGTTTGGTTATATCAGCCTTCCATTGTTACGTTTATCGCGGTACTTGAAAGATACGCAATAATACAAGTTCATCCATCAAGTAGTAAGCAATTAAATCAGCCATATAATATCTTAAAATATTTAAGATATCATTTTTTCCTTAATATTAACTCTAAGGAACTGTACCATTCGCAGCCGAATATTAAAACAGTAGAGCGTTGTTTATCCGAAGGTCGGTTATCCGAAGGAATTCCAGTCGACAAATTTAAATTTTCGCCAGTGCTGTGGCGCTGCAATCTTTGGCTATGTCTTGGGCTACTCAAATATTTTACGTTTTTGATACTAAATTAACTTCTGAAGTATAATTTTTTATTGTTTTTATATTTATTTTGTTCGTACAAAATAAAGAAATAATTTTTAACGATATAATAGTCACGATTATTATTTTAAAAAGTTTACGTTTGGATTAACATCGACAAAAATTCAACACGAAGCGACACGCAACGGAGAAAAATTATAACATGGGATAGGTTAATTTTTTCGTACATAACCGGTTAACCGAAATATCGATTTTTATTTCCGAGCACCCCCAGTCCCCAATTGATTCGGATAATCGGCGCTCTACTGTATATACTTACATATTTACACTTGCATGGTGACATTGTATTCATCAGCTCATTTATTCTATGAAATCCTGCATAATACACGATCATGTTTGCCCTATTTGTATATTTATATAGAATATTTGTGGTATAAACATTTTTAATAATTCATGTAGTGCAAAAGAATAATATATGACAAACTTTGTGATTTATTTGCTATTTTTTCATCAAAAAATTTTTAAATGAGAAATATTAATTATTATAACTACTACTGTACATTTGTAAGTAGCATGTAAAATGTGAACCTATCAATGAAAGTAAACAAGCAAATCACCAACTGAAAAGTTTATTACAAAAATACAATTTCATAATCTGCAATTATATTTTTGATTTTAATATGAATACAGTAACATTCCTTTCCTTTATTAGTCAATTTGCAATTAACAATATTCATATATAAAAAAAGTAAATTCACCATAACACTTTTAAAATGCATACCGCTTGGTATTAATAAATTTTTCACTGGTATAGAAAAAGCTTAATTTTATGGAATAACTTGATTTTTTTTTATATAGAAAATCAAAAATGAAGACTTTTGTTATGTACCAAAATGGTGTATAACATTTTGCAAAACTCTATACAGGTGTGAAGCTCTATATATAATACTATAAGTAAAAAGAGTATATAAAATAATTTGCTACATCAAAAAGTTTTTTTTTAAACAACTAAAATAAAAAACTTAGCAGATATTCTTCTAGAAATAAATAGATAAATAGATGTTAACTTACTACAAAAATTATATCAATAGATTAATACTGTGAATGATCACATATAATCTGCAGCATATGTACTCGTTTAATAAAATTCAGTAGAAGATGCTATTTGTGCAGGGTAAATAATCTAGAAATACATATACCAACAAAAATTATTTTTTGTTCATTCTAAATTTTAAAAAACCACAGTCTAACTAGTTGCAATTCCAAGCAGAAATCCTCCAGTAAAGCCAGTAGCTAGAAAAATATTTTCTTCCAAAAATTCTTCAACCTAATAATAATTAAAATTTAGTATATTTATAAGTAAATTTCATCAATTTGTAATGAAGATTATCTATCAAACATACCTCTGCATATATGCGATTGAATCCTCTTTTTTTACGTCTCAGCAATATTCTCTTAGCATTTTCAATATCTTTATTTAATAAAGACCAATTAACTTTTATATATCCTTGATGATGAGCTAACTAATTAATTAAATATAAATATGTCAATTAATTTATAAAATTTATATATTCTATTCTTCTACAAAATTATTTTACTTGAAATAATAAAAGGCTTGCTCCAATTGATGCAGCAGCTACTTTCCCAACTTTAGCAAAAGTTATTCCGGAACACCTGAAATAAAATAAATTCCATTTTATATTCAGTGATATTCATTTGTTGATACTTTTTTAAAAAAACTTCAATTCTTAAGTTTTATAAAATTAATTAATTTAATACCTCTGAGAACTATTTTAATCATTTTAACAAGAATTTTTTTGAATATTTAAATATTTGAATAAAGATATTAGTTAATTTAAATCTATGTTTTTAACATGGTCAAGCACATTTTAAGTTTCTATTCGGATGTATATACAGTAATATATTGTTATTATTATTATTAGTGGCCATGGAAATTGTAAAATCCTATTAAAAAAAAAGCATGTTTAATTTTTAAAAAATAAAGTATTATTTTGCTGCAGACCTGCAAGAACATAAATATCACAATGCCAATTACACCATAAACATGAGGTTATTTTTTATGGTTGACAAAGTTTACTACAGCATGTTTTCCAGAGATTGCACAGTCCATTGGTATCAAAACCTGTTCACTTTTATAAGCAAAATGAAAAGTTTTTGACAGTTAATACTGTGTAAAAAGTCCATAATTGTTGCTTTAAATACTGAAGGTTTAATTCTCTCCTGAAATAGCACAGAGAGTGCATTGTCATTAATCAACAATTGTGTGTTTGTTACAAAGACAATACTAACATTGAAAGAAAAGCTGAATCAGGAGATAGCCTGTGTGAGTATGTCATTCCAGGATAGGATGACAAACATCTCAATTTGTCAGAACATACTGCTAGTTCTTCCAAACTGAAAATGAAGTGGGAAGAGCAGACAAGCGTAAAAGTGAGTGCTTGCACTGTGTAATGTTGTCAACTATGAGTATCTGCACAACATATGTAAACAGTATGCTTTTAAATCTAAGAATCCATTAATGATAAGGATCCCATTCAATGAGAAATAACTGTTCATATTGTATGTATCAGGCCTATTTAAATTGTGAATATTTACTTGTTTGTTTTTTTGTTTCATAATTGTGAACAGTAAGTTCATGCAACAATACTCATTAACCATATCAGTGAGGCTGTGGTATTGAATAATTTCAATGTAATTTTATAAAATGTTATGTAATAAATTGCATTTTTTTCTGGTTTTCTTCTCTGTACTACATGTTATCACTACAGATCATGATCTTAGCTTAAATATGTTACTTTGTACATCTGTTGGTGCATATCATGGGTGATTAATTTTCATAGCTGTTACTGTATGTATATGTATCCTAAAATTGAGTATTTTATAAAAGTTAATAATATTGAAGTCAATTTCAATGTGTGTTTTTATAAATATATAATATTAAATTATAATATTATATTATTATCAAGCGAATAGTTCTATTTTTTATCCAAGGCATACAAATTACTATCATTAGATAAATTACTTCATAGATGAATGAGCAATCTTCCTGCTTGTCACTTAATATATTTTGACATTGATAACTTATTTCAACAATAGAATATAACGAAATATTCTAACAATTCAATTCTTAAAGGATAAATAATAATAAATGAATGTTAACATATGACAAAATGAAAATATAATTAAGCTAATTAATAAAGTACCATACAGTACATAAAAAGCAGTTACTATTTTTCTAAAATTTACATAATATGCAACATCAAGAGCAAAATATTTAAAGTCTATATTATACAAAATATTTTTTGAGTGAAATTTTATATTACCTAATATTAGTAAAAATTGCATCTGTTTCGGATGACAACAGTATTTTATAATCCGAGATATTTAAAAAATTTCCTCTCTCCATGTATAAAAAATATATGGAGGATAAAACTTGTGAAGCTTTATTATTTATTTAAAGAAACAATATATAATATGAATAAAATTAACATAAATAAATTTTCTTAAAAAAAAAGTAGCATAATATTTTCCTTCTTAATTGTTTAATTTATATGTATTGCAATAATTATAGAGATTAAATGATAGAAAAAAAAATTACTGAATAAGAATTTTGGAATGCAATGGCCTAGTGTGACCTTCATTTCTAATCCAGTTCTTATCATTAAGTTATTTAATTTTTTTTCTTAAACAAGTTTTTATTGTAATTTTATTTCTATCTATCATAAAGGCACTACAAGATTGATTCAATTTAATTAAATTAGACTGATAACTAACATTTATTTGCCAGAAAACAAATAACTATAATAGATTCTGTTGGCAAAATACCATCTTAAGTTTTTAAGACTGTGGATCTAAATTAAAATTATAAATATGTTGGACTAATGTCAAAGAAATGTTTTCAATCTAACTTTGTTATTTATCTGGTTTCTAACTTATTTTAAACATTTAAGTTTGTATTTAGACAGAAATTGTCATCATAATTTAATTATAGAAATTTTAGAATAATGACCAGTTTCCATTAATATTTTTGAAGAACAATTAATATATTAATCTCTCTTATTTTTTAAATAATAAATCAAAAGTAATTTTTTTTAAATTGTCTTGATCAATAAATGATGATATAATAAATATTTTCATCTTATATTCATTTTTAAATGTACAGAAATCCTGTTTTTTTAAACCTGATCTCATAAATGCGGTACATTCTTAATAATTTATTTTCATTTAAACGTTGTCATTTTGCATTAGAAGAACCAATTATTATTAAGTGTATCTTTAATATGATAAATTAAAACATTATAACTCAGTATTTTTATTTATTAATTAAGATTTCAACTTTGCAATGAGCTGTTATTTTGCTTCCATTTAATCACTGTCAGAGAATTTTTTCTTATTTTATGAAAAGCTTAATCTAGACTCAATGTTTTTAAATTATATCTATATTTACACAAGTATTTAAAAAATGACTTAAAATTATGAAGAATCAAGCTTTTGAATATAGTTTAAAAAAATTTTTTTTATTTAAAATATATTTGTAAATAAATTTTTATATAAATTCCACACAATATTTGTTGTTTAATTATTTTTATTCATGTGTTAATTATTTTGACTTTTAAATTTACAAGAAAATTTCTGAATATTTTGCAAATTATAATTGGTTAGTATCATAAAAAGAAATGTATTTTTGTCATGAATAAAATTATATACACTGAGAGATCACAAGTTGCAATTGGATTTTATGTACGAGTATGTCAGGAGTAACACCTTGTCTCATATGATGAAAAAATTCCCAAATTTTGTACATTTTACACCAAGTTAGAACTAATACTTTTATGAATTTTGTTTATTTAATACTTATTAAAATTTCATGTTTTGTTGAGTATAATTATTTTTTAAAAATACTTACCATTGCTACTCTAAGTTATAGTTACATTTCTTTGTTTATTGTCAAATACAAGTGTTACAAATTATAATTAATTGATTGAATATATAACATGATAGTGGATGATGAGCACTATGTTGCCACATGATCAATTCAGTATGATTCAGTGAGTTGGTCAAACAATAGATGTATGTACTTATTCAAAGAATATTTCATGCATGAAGGATCTTAAATCAGGCATTGAATCATGTCCTTATCTCAAAAGAAACTGAATATGTTAATATTGTACAGGCAATAAAACACAAGTTTACTGCTGGATAAGAAGGTTGGTGACCTGTGCTTATGAATTGATTTTCCAGTTTGCCCTGTTATCTCTGTACAGGCAATATGCAGTGAATTGTTCTGTATGTAGTATTGAATATTATATAATATTAGTGATATATTATTGTTGACTGAATGATTCAAAGTGGATCATTCAGTCAACAATAATATTAGTGATATATTATTGTTGACTGAATGATTCAAAGTGGATGATACAAAATGAAATAATTCAAAGTGAAAGTGGATATATTGACTATCATTGATTCTATATTTCTAATCACTGTATTCTACTAATACACTGATGAACAGAACAAGTTATACTGATTTGTATATTGTCTTCTGGAAACATTTAAACTTAGAATCTCTAATATATAACTGGCTGATAACGCATTCAAAATTCTTGATTATTTCATTTGCTGATTTACTGGTTTAACTGATCACATGTTCATTGCAATTTATTTCAATTACATATGGCATTAAATGATCATACAGTATTATTTTGTTTTAATTTATTAATCCTTCTATGACTGAATACAATTATTTTAAAAATATTCAGTTATTTAAGCTCTTAAATAAAAACTTTATTAATGAAGCTTTAGAATATTAGTAAATTATTCTTTTGTAAATATGGAACATTAATAAATTAGCCTAAGTTTAGTTAGTAGTATTATTGTTACTTTGCATTTAGTTAGTATTATCATCATAACGGGTGACATACAACTAGGACATTGTGCAACTTTGTCATATTGTGATAGAATTGAGACAGAGCTGGAAAGAAAGTAGTGATCCTGGCACTTGTTAGGCACAGAAGAGGTAATCCTTGTACTGATGGCCACAGGAGATCCTTGCACTTGCCAACATGGAGAGGTAATACAAGAACAAAGCAATCACCATTGATTGCTTTGTTCTTGTGTTTAGTTTGTTTTTCATGCCTATTTTCTGTTAGGCAACCACAATGCTGTTTTTATTTTTGACCCCTGCACTAAATTCTGTCAGATGCACTCAGTTGCATCAGAGAGAACATACATTGTCACATTTCAATATACAGAGGTGTCAGCCTAAACAAAGTTATGGACTCCTACAAACATCAATTAACACCTCAATACCCCTTCTAGCAGTCAAAAGAATTTACTAATCTAACGTTTTCGGCCGTCTTTTAGAGGCCCTCTTCAGGATGAAACATTAAAAAACAGTTCTATCTTTTGAAGGATTCTAATAATCGAATACAGCTGTGTTCCGAACTTTTAAATATTTAAACGATGCGTAAGATATAAAAATCGTTACGCTTACAAGACAAAAAATTATTATTTTAAAATAACGCTATACATAAATTATTATTGTAGAGTTGTGAAAATTAGCGCGGTGTAAATACTGCTATACATCAATTATTATTATATAGTTGTGAAAATTAGCGTGATGTAAACGCTTTGATTTCTTATACATAGCAGAA